GAAGCCTGACAGCGGAGGAGTGTCATTAATATGACTTAAGTTGCACAGATTAAAGCTTTCACCGTGCTGCAGGTCAATGTGTCCAATTTCGAAAGAGAATACGGATCCTTCCTGGACGACGTACAAGGTGCCCTGCACGAAATGTTGACATACAGAATACATCATTCTAATGGGTGATTTCAATACGTTAGTGCAGAAACTGAAAAGTGGAAAAACGTGATTGAAAAGAACACCTCAACAGTAATGGCATGAAGTTGTTGCTGTTCTGTGCAAACAACTGACTGTCTATCACGAACACTTTCTTCGAGCTAGAAGCATGCATCACCATACCTGAAATACAGAGACTTATATGGAGAAGCCGATAGTTGATTTGATAACCGTTTCTTCTGTCTCACGATGCTGTGTAATGGATGTTCACGTTCAAAGGGGCGCAGACCTTTTAACCAATCATCACCTTGTTGCTGGCACCCTCCGCTGCAAACGAATGGAGTGATCTGGTGGCAGAAACTTGAGAATCAACTGGGAAACAATATCTTTTGCAAATACGAGAGCAAAACTTACAAACAACATTTCATGACGGTTTGAACAGATCCCAGTGATGACCACCGATGTGGAAACCGAGTGGCAGCTCTTTAAGAGCGGCATACTCGAGCCTGTCGCCGAATACTACGGATTTAAAGGGATAAGCCTGCCGCCTGGAGGTCAAAAAACAACTAGTTGGTGATACGAGAGGTACAAGTGGCAGTCAGTGAGAAGGCTGTATTAAAGAAATGATTGGAAACAAAGAGCCTTCTATTCGCGCATGACGTGTCAAAGCGCGCACGGCGGCAGCGAAAGCAGTGGCAAAAACGGAATTTGATTCTTTGGAAAAGTTAACGGTGAGATGCTAGAATAAAATTTCCAGATAGCAAACAAAGTATTTTGGCAAACGCCCCCTCAATCTCCAATATGAAAAGAATGGCAGTCTAACAAACCTCAAGAACAAGTAGAGACCCTCTTGCAACGATGATGACATATTTTAGCGAAGGAGAAAGTACTCAGATCAATTTGTTAAACGGCAGCAAGGAAGAATCGCTTGATGAAAAGCAGGCAACAAATATTAGAAGTACATGAAGCAGCAGAACGTGCAAGAAACTTTAAAAGTGGCAAGGTTGCTAAAATCGATTAAATCCGGCCAGAAATGCTTAAAGCTTTAGGCGAACAAAGCATGTCGTAGTTAACACGTGTCTGTAAAACAGCCATGGTTACGGGGAAGACGATAGTAGACTCCAAATCTGGGGTTATAGTAACCCTCTTCAAAAAAGAACACATGGAGTGCTGCAATTACCGGGACATTAACTATCTGAGCCTCCTCGGAAAGATATACAAAAATGTGCAGGAAAGGAGGTGCGACTTAACAGCTGAATCTAAGATCCAAGATATTACGTGCGTCTTCAGATCACACTGAAGTATATCTGACCACATCTTTGCATAACGCCAAGTCGTTGAGAAATCGTGGGAGTTCGCTCATTCGCTTTACATGTTTTTTTCTGGACCTTGAGAAAGCCTATGATTGGATCCCACGTAACAATCTATGGACATGCCTTCATACATATAGGAGGAGTGGCCAGTTACAATGAACAATCCAGTCACTATAGCAGGTGCTGCATCACAGTAAACGGCGTTGAGATGTTTCAGCTTGGTACTGGTCTCCGCCAAAGCTGCGCTCTGTCCCCTCTCCTGATTGTATTGTACACGGGCAGGAAAGATAAGGCTAGGCATGGCCCCGTGGTTTAATAACTTTTCTTGCTTTCGCTGCACATATTCATCACATCTGTTCCAGTGGCCTAAGCTAGGAAAGTATTCACTGCCGAAGCAGCAAGCTTGCAGTTGAGAACTTCATTTCTCAGTTTCATTCTTGCAAACAGACACTTTCAGTCAAAAATTGCCATTCACGCGGCATCGAGAATAATTCGCCTACAGTCAATCGTTGTCTCGAATAACTCTAAAGCAGTTAACGTTTATATTACGTGTATACCTTACATTAACGTTAACACTTAACATTAGCATTTACGTTAACGTTTACATTATGTGCTAACAGTAATACAGTGGTAACTTATTGTTTGAAAAATGATGTTAATTCGCTGAGCGAGATCAATGAGCTAAAGACCATGCACCAGAACGAGAACCTAATGAGAAAAGAAGCAGAGTTTATCGGGGCAATTACAAATTATAAAGTATACACAATATATAGTATATAAGGCTTAGCAAGAGGCCAGTTTAAGAAACTGTGCCCAAGTGCCATTCAATAATTCAAGAGAAAAGGGATGACTGATCCGTTCTGCGGATGAACGCTCGTATTCACATGCATGCGGAAGCGGAAAGGCGGTCAGTCAGTCGAAAAAAAAACAATACCTGAGTCTTTGTCCAGTTTTTCCAATTCTGAAAAAGGCTTTAGAGGTTTCAACGGCTCTGGGGACAAGGAAAAAATATTAACCAAAGAATCTCGGTATCCGACACTAAGTAATGACGAATCCTCCGTTATCTCACAAGAACACACCCTTAAAACAGGTTGTTAACATCACCGAGAAGAACAACAGATGTACTTACCCTGCAAAAGTGTTCAACAATGTATAAAAACAGGCTGAGGGAAGCCTTTCCTGGGAAATCTTGAGTCTTTTGCATATTTCACGAAGCGCGCTTTGTCGTTCCTGCTTCCAAGCTTCCGTCCTGAATAATACGGTTTCTTCAACTTTTCATCAAAGAAGTCATTAAATGATTTACGCCGCACAGCTACAACATACGCAGCATTTCGATCTCATTAGATGTATCCTTGGGAGTTGCATCACCCATGGTTTATAAGTCACGTAAAACAATGATCATGTGAGTACAACAGCAAAAGCTGAATAATTCTAAATTCAAGGTTGTGGAACAAACTGAATAGTATAAAACCTCATAAATTCTTCCTAATACTTCGGCTGCTCAGTTATTAGAGCGGGAGACAGAAATATGAGGTTGAAGGTTTGAGTACTGGTCCAGTCATTTACTTTACTTTCTTTCCAGATCGATGAGTATCACTCCGTGAGAAGAAACCAGAAAATTACACACTATGTTTGACACAGGTCGGTCGACCCTGCCCTTACAAAAACGACATTCCTGGAAATGGAGGTCAGTACCCCACCGTTAACTTCATAAATGGGGCGCCAGAAATTACCGTATCATAAATGTGTAAAGAAGACTGACATTCCAACGGTCACAAATTGTCCTCAGGTATCTTAGCAGCAAGTTTGAATAAACTTTATACTTTATATGAGGACAGAGCAGCTTTTCGAATATTGTTGCTGTTCAGCACACAAAATGCAAAACATTTCTTGCATACACCACGTACTTCTTGCACAGAGCTATGGCAACTAAATGTTCTAGAGTAAATTTGGCAATCAGGTTGCGGAACCAGCCCAGAGCGCACTCAGCGCAGCGACACCTTGTACAGGTTTCAACGCTAAGCTCTGATCAACTACACGATCCACTGTTTGACAGGAATAACCGCTGTCGTACAGGCATTTTCATTATAACACCTTTATAGACATGGCGTCGTGCAGAATCTGTGCTGGATAAAGGGTTGCTCAGTGGAAACTCAGCAACACTCGAGCCTGATCTTGAATTGGAAATCTATTAGAAACATTGAAATTCTACGATCGTTGTTTCTACTTGTTGTCAACGTCAAAAGATGATGCAATCAGATGGCGATAGGTTTGCCAGAATGGTTTCGACAATCAATTTGTTCTGAGCATGGGAAGAAATCGCAAGTGCCGATGAACTGGGAGGTCTCCCTTGCCCATGATCGTACAGACGTTAATTAGAAAACTCTCAAGCCTTTACATTTCAAGAGAGCATGTTTGAAAGGAAGGAATCTAGAGCAAAAAAGTGATAAAGCAATAGGACGGTCTCTTGGCGGTAGTGTAGAGTATGTTGTCGACGCTTAAAACGCAGCTGCTCTGAAACCAAGCAGTTTCACGATGAAAGGCTTGAAGTACACGATAAAATTACTTTTTTCCCATTGTGTCATAAATGGATGTCAGCTTCCCAGCTCTCTCAGCATCTGATGAGTTTCTGCATCCTGTTGTAACAAGGCTTAGTGAATATATCCTCAGATCATGAGCTTAGCTGCGGCTTAGAGTCAGTTGTACTCTTCGATCTTTGCTTGGTCCCGGAGAGACTAACTTGGAGTGTTTTCTTTTGCCAAACTATTGTTTGCAAAAGTTTGAGATTGAGTCGATGGTCACAAACCACCAATGCCATCAATTTCACAGTTACAACGTAGCCAATGTACTCAGACAGATGCCTTTAACTTCCAGTATCATATTATCTTAAATGAGTAAATAAATTTTCTGAGAGAAGGCTGGCGGAAAATAGGT